GTTCAGTCTCCATGGTTACCCCATAGGTTTACATGTTAAAAAATGGTTTGAGCGATCGAGGATACCGTACGTGTGCGAAGAATTGGTCGGTATTTTCATACAAGACAAGACAATTCCAAACAAGACAAAAATGGCTAAAGAAACTGTCCCAAGATTTCAACTTATCAAATGCAAGACTCGCTGACAGCAAGAACAACAACAAAGGTACGTGAAATTATCCATAAACATGTTCGTTTAGTTGCTAAAAATGGAGTACCAGCATAGACGTAGACGAAAATAGATCTAGTTGTCAGGGTGTCTGATCGCGCACCCGATGTTGTGTGCTATATTCTTCCCATAGAGATTACACGCAATGCAGTCTCTATGCAGTCTACGTGCATTTTTCAATTCGAGATTCAAACTTTTATCTGTTGTGATCCTGAAGGTGATACTCAATAAGTGAGGTGTCATATAAAAGCGCAGGTTCTTCTCTCTATTCCCCACAGGGCCGGCCCACCCCCAAAATTGTAAAAATATCTTGCTTAGACTAGAATCTAGATCTAGTCTAGATCTACTCTCAAAGATACACTCATAAAAAACAACCGTGCAGATAAACTAGAGAAAGGCCATGGTGGTGTCATTAGTTGACTCTTTTGTTTTCGGCATATAAAAGGACTGCTTTAATATTCGAGAAATAGTTGTTTTTATACGCTCTCGGAAAGTTTACAATTGGGCTATTGCCCTCGGCACGCCTCGGGGCAATAGCACAATTTTAACCTTCCCTTGAGCGTATAAAAACAACTTTTTTCTCAAAGCAGTCATTAATACTATAATATAAACGACAACTGTGTACTCTTGCTAAGTGCATCCATTACATGAAAGGTGAGTAAAGGGGACTATGAATAGGATTGATTGTGGAATATACTGTATATTGTGTAGGTCAGCCGTATTATCACTCATGTACGTGTCTTTCTAATTTCATGGAATTTAGTCATTCACTTCGTACAATCCTTCTTACGCTGCTTTGCTTGGGCTGTGATTGTGGAACCATGGGACCATAAAATTAACAGAATAAGAATGTAAAACGATGCCATAGATTGGCATGGAAATGACACAGCACACCATAATGAGCTTGTTATGAAATAGAAATTAAAAAAGTAGGTGTCAGGTTGGATGGATATGAGATAATGGCCTTGTCATACAATCTCTTATTATTGTCAAGCCAATATCTACAGGTATTGAAGCACCTGCTGGCATTGTAGAGTAAGTCGAGATTAATAAAATGGGAAAACGATGGTATACAAAAATGTTATTGTCCGTTAGACAGAGACAATCGATGTACATATGTATCTATATAGGGGGCGTGCCTGTCAGTGGCGGATCCAGCCGGCGGGAAGAGGGGGGGGGGGCCCAATCCGTGAGAAAATATTAGTTGCAACTCAGCCACCGGTAAATAAGAGGGGGGGGGGGTGGGGGGATGGGGTAGGAGGCACTTTTTTTTGGTCCAATTTTTCAGGAAATATTTTGCGCCGACGCAGTCAGCCGGTGAATAAGCGGGGGGGGGGGGGGGGGTGATGAGACCACTATTTTTGTTTTTTCACCTTAAGGCCTTAAGGGGGGGGGGAGCCAAATCTTAATACAAAATTTAGTGCCGACTCAGCCGGCCGGCGAATAAGCGGGGGGGGGGGGGGTGGGCGCTTTTGTTTTTTGTTTTATAAAGGCTAACTTTACGTTATTATCCTATTTTTTTTTATCGTTTTGGGGGGCTACGGGGGGGGGGGGCCCCGGGCCGGAATAATCGCTACGTGGATCCGCCCCTGGTACCTGTTGTTGGTTATACCCTAGTTGCACCAAAGAACTGACCTTACACCGACTTCAGAAAAGATTGCTTTATTTTTGTCTATTTTGGGTTATCCTCCATTTTTTCTTATTCTTCTTTCATGTTTTCTTCTTGCGATTAACGATCTATGAAAAGGCACCATGAAACTGAGAGAATGTGAATTCAAAACAATGTCATAGGTTAGCACGAACATGATACAGCACACCATAATGAGCTTGTTATGAAATAGAACCTTAAAAAGTAGATGTCAGGTTGAATGGATATGAAAAAATGGCCTTGCCATACAAAATGTCAGTATATTGTCAAGCCATCCTCTAAAGGTATTGAAGCACATGTCGTCATTGTAGGGTAAGTCGACATCAATACAATGGGAAAACGATGGTATACAAAAATGTTATGGTCCGTTAGACAGTGTCAATAGATAAATATACATGTATGTATACAGGGGGCTGATCTGTTATTGGTAATACCCTAGTTGCACTTAAAATAGAATGCTTTATGTTTTTCTATTCGAGATTATTCTTGTTATTTCCATTTTCCTTTTTTTTAATTCTTTGTTGTTTCTTCTTGTGATTATGGCACCATGAAACTGACAGAATGTGAATTCCAAAAAATATTATAGATTAGCATGAAGACGACACAGCATACCATAATGAGCTCGTTATGAAATAGAAATTAAAAAAGGATTGGTGTCAGGTTGAATGGATATTAGACAGTGGCCGAACTCTCGTTATTGTCAAGCCATGATTGAAGCACATGTCATCATTGTAGAGTAAGTCAAGACCAATACATTGGGAAAACGCTGATACATAACAGTTTCATGGGCTATTGGACAGTGACAATAATTGATGTATATACATGTAGATGTATAGGGGCTGACCTCTTGTCGGTAATAGGAACTTTTAGATTCTGCACGACGAGAACGTGGACTGCCATTTTAAGGCAATGTGACGTCTTTTTAAAAGTACTATGTCCTATTTGCAGGCTAAAAAATGAAAAGGTAAAATTCCAATGACATTTGAAAGATAATACTAATTGAGAACTTCCCTAAAAAACTTGGGGCTTGAAAATTTCTTCAAGTGGGAAAATAACGACTGTTAGTTGTCAAACCGACTTAGGAGCTATAGAGCCAATAGGTAATAGTCTTGATTTTCAGACCATTGTACCGAATGGTTGTACGTTTTATGCTGCGCAAAGATTCAATCAATTTAATTTTGGCCGTCACAAGAAGTGGGTTATTGATGTAGACAAATGCTCATGTACCCTTTACAGCTCATGTTCTGTGTGTTATTACCAAAGAAGAAAAAAGCCAGTCAGTCACTCAATAGTGTCTGACAGTGAAGTCTAGCAAGGAAACTGGTTTTCTTGCTTAGTTTGAAAATTAGGACACTGCTAATGTTTATATTTCACAGATATGACATACATGACATATTCATAATTCCTGCAAAGTTCTACAGAATTTGAGGTTGGCTGCAAAAGGGACATAGTATCTTTAAGGCACTGCATGGCAGTGGCGTCACATTGCCTTAAAAGGGCAGTCCATGTTCTCGGCGTGCATAATCTAAAAGTCCCTACTATAACCTAGTTGCACCGAAGAACCGACTCTACACCGACTTCGAAAAGATTGCTTCATTTTTCTATCCGGGGTTATATTCTTGTTATTTCTATTTTCTTCTTTTTCTTCTTCTTCTTCTTCTTCTTCTTCTTCTTCTTCTTTTTCTTTTCTTCTTCTTCTTCTTCTTCTTCTTCTTTTTCTTCTTCTTCTTCTTCTTCTTCTTCTTCTTCTTCTTCTTCTTCTTCTTTTTCTTCTTCTTTTTCTTTTTCTTCTTCTTTTTCTTCTTCTTCTTCTTCTTCTTCTTCTTCTTCTTCTTCTTCTTCTTCTTCATCCTCCTCCTTCTCCTTCTTCTTCTTCCTTTTTTTCTGTCTCTTGTCGGATTGGTGTCGGTCTCATTGGTGTGACTGAATATCCCAGTCATACCGACGAGATCGACACCAGACCAATATTTTTTTTTTAATTCACTGCGTTCAATTCCCCCATACGTTTAGCCTTTATAATGGCAGGTTTAAATAACATCAATAGACTGAAAAAGAATGAACGCAATAGCTTTATGAATAGGAAAACTATTTAGTTAGCCTGGAATCTGATTCTATGATATATTTCCCCTAATTCCGGGGTGCTGAACACGAATCTACCTGTTGACTTTTTTCTTAATGACGCCTTTAGCTATTTCCATGGTTACGTATTTAAAATGATATACATTTTTCATCCAACAACAACAAAATATAATGTTAGTGGTTACATAAATCTTTTTCCAGCTACCAATTTCATTTTAATGAAAAATATCAGTCTTCCCAGTCAGGGTTATGCTCACGTTTTGGTGGTCGCAATGGTAACAGAGAATTTAAGAAAATAATAAATATTTCAAATGAGAAACTGAAAAAAAGATATATTACTAAAGTAAAATGATGCCTAAAGTTTGATTATAATCAAAACCATGGTCTTTTGAAATTTTATTTGTGCGAGAACATTATGTTGGTATGGTAACTATATGGCGGAATTTGATATGTCAGAAAACTATACTTGAAAAGGGTTGCCATAAAAACACTATAGTCCAAACATCAAAGTAGGTAGATGCTTGGTTTTAAAACGCTATGATAATGTGCATGTGCTAATAATGTCACAAATGTATCCTTTCCCTTTAGTTAGACAAACGATAATCTATTCTCTCTTTGTTCATTTGTTTGTTTATTTGTACATACACGATGTCTCTAAGCGCTTTACAGATGTATTATTATCCCAGTCATCGGATTTAGGCTTGCCTGCACACAGTATATGTTCATACTCCACTTCCTGGGGAGCATTCCAGCCAGGCCAGTCAGATGACATAACTATCCCGACTCTACTAGCTATGGTTTAACTATATGTCGATTGCACAATCTAAACATGTCTGGAAAATTGAAAGTTTTCTAATATTAATCTTGAGATACAAACAAATTTGTTCAGCTATCATGTTATCAATATTTTTTGCCCTTTTGTTGCTGGTGTTGTTGTTGTCGCTGTTGTTGTTGCTGTTGTTGTTGCTGCTTCTGCTTTTTTTCTTCTTCAAACCACGACAGATTAAAACTTCTTTAGGGCTTTACAAAAAAATTTGTTCTCATCCTAATTCAATGCCAGATTCGAGAGGAGACTCAGTGCTCTAAAAGAAATAGACGAAGTTGACGCATCAACTACGACCGGTCAACCAAAACAATCTGAGAACGGATTTCAGGCAACTGCGTTGTCGAGTATTGCTGAAGACATTGACGATGTTGATTTCCCGTATGAGAACCTCGTTTTGGAAGGCGGTGGAAGCCAGGGAAATGCTTATATTGGCGCCATAATGGTGAGAAGCGATTAAATATTCCTACTACTATAGAACTACCTCTACCAGTACTATACTACTAGTTCTACTACTATTAGGTTTTCCTGTCCATTTTAACACTTTGTTTCAATCAGTACTCTTGTCATTTTTATTTCGTCCGAAAGCTTCCTAATTTTGCACATCTCATAGTCAATTTCGTCATTGATAATTCATTTTCTAACTTTGTCCAATCAATTTCATAATTTCGTATCCAATTTCGGTAAAGTCAAATCGATCTCGTCGTCCCCGGCTGCCAACGGAAAATTGCGTCATTTTGCAATCGAAATCGTCAAAGCGTCATTCAAATTCGTCATTCGTCTTGTCTATGCGATGGATTTTAATGAAACTTCCTTGGTATTGATTTCACAAAGACGAAATCGACTGTTACATTCTGCAGCGGACCGCCGGGTGAGACGAATTCGAAGTGTTGAAATTCTTTTAAAATGACCCATAAATGCCGACAAACTGTTGCTAATGTTATCAGAACTCTTGCACGCTCTTTAATTCTTTGTATCAAATAGGAGTTGGAGCGACTTAACTTCTTGAGCAAGATTCGTCGTTTCGCTGGTTCCAGCATTGGTTCGGCGACAGCTGCTTATCTCGCCGTAGGCCACGGGACCAGCAAATTTCTCTCCATGATAAAAGATGGACCTCAATTCAACGACCTCTTAGGTGAGAAACAAATTAGAGTATCTACACGTACGATCGCAAAGCCTTTCAAGAAATCAACTTCAAGCAGTTTCAAAAGCCTAGTCCGGTATTTTCTGGAGGATATTTGCAAACATTACAGTGACCTATTGCGTTATTCTAACATTGCCCCCTGTTAATATCCCGGACATATTTGCGGTCGTGTAAGATAAACGAATATAAAATAAAATCGAATCGATTCTAGGGAAATATATAACAGTGATAAAATAGGCAGTGGTATAGCTACAGGGGCACATGGGATCATGCCCCCCTACCATCAAATGGAAGTAGAAACAGCAAGACACAAGGGGAAAAGACACTATGAACATGACCGACAAAGAGAGCGGACAACATATACAGTTCCTCAGGTGGACAAAGGAACATCCCTTCACTGCTATTATGTAAAAATGTGTAGAACAGGTGTCACATGCATATTCACCTTTTTACATAATAGCAGTGAAGGGATGTTCCTTTGTCTAGCTGAGGAACTGTATATTTTGTCCACTTTCTTTGTCCGTTATGTTAATAGTGAGAGAAGTGGGGGAACCGGACGGGAAACATGACCAAAAGACACTACGATCTCCTCCTATACCCCCTCTCTTAGTTGATAACCGTATTATTTTGCAAAAAAGCGTGTGCCCCATACATTTCCGGAATCACGCTACGCCGCTGAATATAGGCACCACGTACCGCAGGTTGGGATATTTTTTTAATGTAGGCAGGAATGAAGGGCTAGGAGTGTAAGCTGCATTTACCTAGGATTGTCCCATTAGCCCACAACCCTCGTAGAATTCCCCGCAATTACGCTTATAGTTGTTCGAAGAGTAATTGGGTGTGATTACATTAACTTATGTCCTTGACCAGTACCTGTCCGGCGATAGTCTTCCGGGTGGCGCATATTTTTTTTACACAACTGTTTAGCCATTTTCGCGAAAAAATTCCAAGAAGTGCTCTGGTGAAAGAGTCTAAGTCGTCAGCGTACTATATATGCAAGCACGTACACCCAGGGAAGGGAATAGATGATAGAAAGGGGAAAACAATTAAGGATAGTTGAGAGGATGGAGAAGGTAAAACAGGGAAATACATAAGGCAAGAGAAGAGGATAAGTCAAAGGAAGAACATTAAATACATAATTGAAGAGCTAAGAGGATCATAGATCTAGACTAAGGAAAAACAGGGAAATACATACTGAGAAAGAGAAACGAATCTACTAATTAAAACAAAGAAATAGATGACGAAGGAGAAAAGGATAGATTGAAGAAGAAATAAAGAAATACATAAAACAAAAGAGAAGAGGATAGATTGAAGGAGAACACAGAAATACATAATGAAAGAGAAGAGAGGATAAATTTAACCCGAAACAAATAACGAGTATGTACACATGTATAGCTCCAGCAATCCAACAAAACTGCTAAGGGTAATGCTAGACTCTGTCTCTAGTCGTTTTCACAGTATATTTGACTGAAGTGGCTAAACAGTTGTGTAAAAAAAATATGCGCTTCCGGGTGAGTGTTTAAGTGGTAATTGAAAGGGGGAGGGGTATTCGTCTGGGGGAAGTTATCATGAGTGTGTAGTCCGGTTGCAAGGGGCGTCCTCCTCATGTGGTTTCTCTTATTGAAGATGCACCCTGTGGAAAATGCAGCCTGGTGCCCAACCTGTTTAGGTACATGGGATGACATCCTGGAAGGACCCTCTATCAGTCTCTGGGTGAAGGCATTGCTGAAAAGCTAGGAGACCCAAACGCAACTTTCAAGGTAAGTCAGCCGTTGTACAATACGTGTTCCTCCGACAATTGCTCTAAGATCATTTCCGAATTCCTTAAAAGTCTACCACATATACTATGCGATCTGATTACAATCCGATTTTTGAAGAGGTTGCAGTAGCATTTGATTAGAACATTTAAAATGCTATGATCCTAATTATTGATATTCATATGATTTAAATTTAAATTTAAATGGATTTCAAGCTTTCTTGGTGGAGAAGAGGCTAAATCAGCTAAATTTGAAGCAAATTCTGTTTTAGAGCCTGAATCTTGAAGGTGATTGTTTTTTTTTTTTTTTTTTTTTTTAGATCTCTGTATCTAATGTCGTTGCCACTAATTTTTGTTGGGGGCCCTCGAAAATTTGGAAAATCGCACCCCCCCCCCTTGAGCGCCAGGGGGGGGGGGGGGGGCCATCTCCAAAAAAGGGTAAATTAACGTGTTTTTACACGTTTTTTTTCCCCAGGGGACGCCCCCCTGGATCCGCCACTGAGTAGTATGCACTGCACTGGTTAACCCTAAAAAGGCCGGGCTATTTGAGGTCTTAGTATGGCCGGGGGGGGGGGGCATTATGGCCCCCCTTAAGATCTCGGCCGCGAAGCGGCCGATCGCCGCGAAAATTTGCACGCATGTCAAGTGAAGTGTATAGAATAATATGATATTTTCAAGTTTTTGAAAAACTTACTCATTTGCATATTTATGGTAATTTATGCAAATAAAGTCATAAAAATCACATTTTTACCCATAAATCATATATTATTCATATAATTAAGCATTATTTTTTCACTACATATATTCATTAGACCATTCTGAATAATAATACGACAAAAAATTTGGAAGAGCCAGCTTAATCCTTATGTTATCCCTTGTTTTGATAATTTCTTATGTATTTCATTGTTTTTTAACTTATGCATTTCATTGTTTTTGTTGTTTTATTTCATTTCTTACTACAATTTAACTATTTTGACTTCAAAAACAACCACCTAAACTTCAAACAAGACCCAATAACCCATGTTTGATCTGTTTTTAGGAAAAATGACTTTTCCATATGTTTTGTACACAAATCACGAAAATGAGCGATTTTCGGGCTGACATGCAAAGACAAAAAGTCACGTGACCTTGTAACCGTAGGTCCGATTTTCAAAAAAAATCTTTTAAAAGTTGAGCAAGACTCGAAAGAAAAAAGTCAGCGAGCGGCGGGGCGCCATCCATATGCGTTCCCGATCAATCGGAAAAATCGTAGGGGGGGGGGGGTCATAATGGCCCCTCCGGCCTTATAAGGGTTAAGTCACAACGAGACGGACAATGAGCTCGACAAGTCTTATTCATTATCTTACTGTGACATAATCTACTTGCAGTGTATAATCACTAATGCACTCGCAAACATGAGTGATTTGTATATTCATGTATATAATTGGGAACGCTAGTTCGTCTATTTCTTAACCCCAGCAGTGGGTTACAATTTGTCAAGAATACGGAAATCAAGACATTATTTTGATGATCATGAACATAAACATGAATAAATTTTCTTGTTTCTATAATGATAGTTATAATCGTTCGTCCCTTGCTTCCTGTAATAGGACCTTTATGTTACGACGGGGAGAGAACCATGCGTGGTAGTTACCAATCTAACCACCATGATGGAGGAATATTGTCACGTCAAAACCACTCCCAACATGCCAATAAGGACAGCTATCAGGATGTCTATGTCTACTCCAGGTGAGAACGAAACTATTTGAAATTACGCGACAACTTCTAAAAACCGTTGATATGCAAAACCAAATGAATATATCCACTGATTATTTTTGCAAGAAATTCAATATCGACATGGACGCAGAAAACCTCAATTTTGTATTCTTCCATCGATATTCGACTTCAAACGCTTTAAAAAAAAAAGTTCTTGCAGAAATGTGTCTGAAATGACATTTTCTTTCACATTATGCTACAGTGAAATTTTGCAATCAAATTTGTTGGGCTCCGATCACTTTAGAAGGGCTTTAATTTCGATAGCACTCCGGGAATATTACCGTAAATCTTATTATCAAAATACCCTGTGTTAATGTTTTACGTTAATTTACGAGCACGAATCTCTCTTATATGCTACGTTTTCATGTCTACTGTATGGGGAATGTAATCATATTTAATACTCCGGTGTATCATGTAATCTAATCTATCATGTATCTAGTATTAAATTTACCTGTAGAAGCCTCGTTCGTTAAAGCCTCGTTCACGTATGATGCGTGAAACCTTTTTTGTATGGAGTAACATGTAAACGCTTCTTATTTCCGTATTTTATGTTTCGACGCGTCATATCTAAACGAGCCTTATATCTCATGAAATTTGCATCAACCTATTGTTTTGTTTTGTTGTTGGTGTTTCTTACCTTATTATTGCGCAGTTGTGTTCCTTCCTGTAAAGCGGCAATACATGGGTCGAACCGATCTCTATATCGACGGCGGTGTTTTGTGTAACTATCCAGTTCACTGTTTCGATGGTAAGTATACTCGTTTGATAATGTCGAATATCAAAGAGTAGCAACAAACAGTGGCGTAGCTATGGGGACAGGGGTGGGAGCACGGGGACATGTGCTCCAAAAATCGAATGGCAAAACAACAAATAGATGAGGGCGAAGGAAGAGAGTATAGGAAAAGGAAAAAGAAAGTGAGATAATATAAGGAGATAGATTTGAATAACGTCACCACCACAAATACGAAGTATCAGAGACCGCTAGATGCTCAGATGTATATTTACTTGTACATATAAATTGCCTCATTTCATGATTATAAAATGTATTGTAAGTTGTTATTGATAACAAGTTTCATGAAACAGGAACCTGACTTTGTCTGCTTTGATAGGGTGGTGGCTTTCTATGAAACCTGAAGATGCTCTCCTGAAGAAGATGCAACCTTTGGAGGATGCAGCCAAGCTCCTCACAAAGAAGGAAAGGTTTGGAATGTTCAACGACAAAACCCTTGGCATGATCATCGTAAGTTCATGCTCCGGCATTCAATATAACAAATAATTTCAACCGACACATTTACAATTTTCAGAGTTATGTAATATTTCACCGGGGCCGCACGCCAGGGTTAAAATATAATGACAGAGGCAAATTGTTATTTGAACAACGGAAGGGATGCGATGTCTGTTCAAATAGGTGATACTTTCAATCAAATACTTTTAATGTTTCTAATCTTTGAAGCCAGACCCTGTCAATTACATTCAGGTTGCCTTCGCGAGTTGTCCCGACCTAGCTTGAGATCAAACTAACTGTCGAATGTTTGAAAGCTTAAATTGTATTTTGCTCTTCTTCCAACAGTACAGTGATTACGACTCCCATGTACTGGCTACCAATCCAGATTTAGAAGCCCCCATTGCACCTATACCAGATACAAAACTTGCCAGGTAAGTTGACTGATAGTATCCCAATAAACAAAACACTAAAAAGTAACCTCTTTTGGGAGTGTATTTTAAGTGATTTTAAAATATGGTGCCTTTTGAACTAAATTTAAATGTTATCGACACGTGCTTTCATTTAAACAAAAAAGGTACTCCTGTTCACGTTTGCATCTAACCTAAAAACCACCAATTTATCACGCGACTGGAGTAACGTGATTCCACGTACCTCTGTAAATCACGTGTTTATGACCAAATAACCACTTGACCAAGCAACGAGTTTTTTGTCCGTTAACCGATGGTGGTGATAAATAAGTAATTATTTGGTCTTGTAAGCACCTTAATCGATTGGTTTCACAGGTTATCCAAGGTTGATGGTAATAATCACGTTACTTACACCGGCTAATCGTCTTATTGTTCTGTCCGTGAATCTCTGGTTATATTAAATTTGTAATTCTGAGGTGTCTTACACACCTCTTTAAATGGTTTCAAAGTTACCATAACTTTCTTGGTTATGATCACGTAGCTAAAACTGATTACTAATCTAAGCTGTGAATCCGTGATATTTAGGTGTGAAAAATTAGTAATTATTAGGTGTCTTAAAACACCTATTTAGATGGTAGTCAAAGTTGCCAGCAGTTCCGCGGTGATGATCTCGTGACTCAAACGGATTATTAATCTTAGCTGGGTATAAGTGACTTTTAGGTGTGAAAAATTAGTAATTATTAGGTGTCTTAAAACACCTTTTTAAATGGTTTCAAAGTTACCATAACTTTATTGGTGATGATCACGTTGCTAAAACTGATTACTAATCTAAGCTGTGAATTCGTGATATTTAGGTGTGAAAAATTAGTAATTATTAGGTGTCTTAAAACACCTATTTAGATGGTAGTCAAAGTTGCCAGCAGTTCCGCGGTGATGATCTCGTGACTCAAACGGATTATTAATCTAAGCTGGGTTTTCCGTGATTTCCAGGTGTGAAAAATGAGTTATTCTTGGGTGTCTTGATGGTTTCACAGTTACCATTTAAGTTCCGTGGTGATAATCCCGCGTCTGTTGGCATATTTCTATTTTCACCAGTTGATAACTGACTGTTGGCATCTTTTCATTGCACCAGTTGATAACCGGTCTGTGTGCATATTTCCAGTTGCACCAGTTGATGACTGCTGGCTGACTGTTGGCATGTTTCCAGTTGAACCAGCTGACACAAATTAATTTGCATATTGAATATGGGGTGCGTGCAGATCTATGTTTTTTAAACAGTTTATCTGAATTTACAGCATATTTCTTAATTACTGATGATTTAGTTATATGCAATTCATTTCGAAAATACTACAAATATAAATTACCAGTTATTAGGACATTTCACTACTTCGTATAAATTACATTTAATTAAACATGAATAAGGAAAACATTAACTAGAACTAAAATAATTTCAATAAAATACAAGTATATGAAAAAATTTCGATTAATTAATTATGTAAGTTTACTTATTATCAATGCCTTTACATTGGAAATACAGACGTACCAGTATTGAAGTGTTGTTGCCGTTCAACTGGTTGGAAGTTTTACCAAATGGTTCTAATGGCT